CATTTTAATGAGTTTATTTGAATGTATCACTAAAATCAGTTTGATGGAAAGGCTTCAAGAATTATCTACCAAAACAGCATCACAAATGCCAACATTTGTCTATAGATTTAGGTGTTTGCATGGCTCAGTTGGTATCCCTCTAGCCTCTGTGTCAAGAGGTTGTGGTTTCAGTTCCCACACCAGAACTTTGATCTCACAATGGAGGCTGACACTCTAGTCGGGGTGCATTGCATTCTCAGAAGTGTGTCCTTTGTATGAGATGTTAAACCAAGGTCCTATCTGTTTGTTCAAATGGATGTTAAGTATTCCACGGCACTATTCAGGAAGAGAAGATAAGTTTCTCCCGGTGTCCTGACCAACAAGCATTCTAAAGTCACCAACATCTGCTTAATTGTTCTTAAAATGTGTGTTCCTGCACAGTGTTACTAGGTTTGTGGTAACCCAGGACCTGAGGAGTCAGCACATAGAGGCCTCAAAACATGAATGGGATTTGCACATTCATCACATTTCATTTCTTCTAATGGAATATTTCCAGAATTGTCACAAGCCATCAGCTAAGAGGCTCGTTTTCGCTCTTGTGTCTTTCATTGCATTTTTCTGGCAATGATCTAGTCACAATGTTGCTTAATGGACCGAGATTTCAATGCCACAATTAGTTGCAAAATCCCAAGCTTGCATGGATTTAAATATGGAAAAGTGTCACAGTGTTTTCTTTATATTCTAACAGGTTGTCTTTTTTTAAAGATATCAGCATTCTATTCAATTTTTACACTATATCTGGAATAGGTCATTGAAAAAAGCTCAACGTGCCCGAAAAGCAAAATAGGCCAAGCTAAAAAATCAATTAAACACATGATCCCTTGGGTGTGGAAGCAGGATACAATGGAATAAAACTATAAAATATGTAATTGAATTAACTAGCACATGTCAAACAACAGGTCTGAAACAGCACCACAGGGAACAACCTTTGAACAAATTGAAAATAGCTAAAAGGGGCAAAGCTGCTGATTTGAAGCATGCAATCATGGTAAATAGACTTGAGCAGTGTTACGTTTGAAAGTGGATCTTCAGCAGTCAATGTATCAGTACAAAACTGTGATAGCAAATACCAGACTTCCTCTGGTAAAGAAAAATAATTGGCTTCCTCTGGCTTTTAAACCGAATATAAACACTGAATCTTAAATAATAAGCATTTTGTTTTTGTTCTGCTCGTTTTATCGATTGACATTAAAATATATGTTTCATTTATGCCTTTCCCCCGTAAGCTGGAATGGAATACAGTTCATGGTGAATTTCAGCAATTTTTAGTGATTATGTTTCAAGAATTCTATTTCAAGAATTAAAATGGAGCTTCTAATTGTTCAAACATGCATTTGGCAGAGCCCGCAGAGTAAAATGAGCTTGCATTTATTTATTAAATGACTGAAGGTCAATGTGAACTTCCAACATTTTGCATCTGAGAGGAAAGACAAGCATGAGTAAGAACACACCCAAGTGCTAAAGGATTGGTCTGTTTTCATGTTGCTCTAAAGTTGACACATTGAATATGTAGGAGCTTTATGGTTGATCCAGAAGGAAAATTTCAACTACTGTAATGCACTTTAAAAGATTATTTACTTAGGGAACATTTCACAAACAACATTGCGGTGATGACAGGTTGTACTTGTAATTAGAAATCAGATTATCAAACACACCATGATGATCAATTATCAGGAATTTCTGTGAAGTGCTTTGAAATGTCTGGCTCTGATCAAGTGATATCAATGCAAGGATTAATTTTATTTCCAGCAAATATACTAGCAGGAAGGCTGGTATTGAGCTGCTCTACATCCTGGTAGATAAACGTTTGATAATGTTCAGTTCCTAAACTTGCAAAACCAGTTGCACTAAGATGCTATCCAAAATGTCACCTTTTGACTCTTAATTGTTCATAATTTTGTCAATGCAGCAATGGAATAATATCATTGCACAAGAGAAGTGGACTGGTGGTACCTGTGCACTAGAGTGAAGCCCCTCGCTAATCTATACAAATGACCATAAATAATGCAGACTAGTTAAGGAGGATGCAGGCAGAATGGACTCAGGAAAGAACATAAGAAAACATTGAACAGCAAAAGGTCAATCAAATGATCAAGGAGTGGGCTCTCCCTAATTCATTTAAACTGGGTAGAAAGGTTCATGAAGTTTCTTCCTGTAAATCAAGCAAAGTAAATACATTTTCTCCCAATGTAAATCAAGCAAAGCTCCCGAGTATACATCTAACTACAACCAACACAATGGCTTGCTTTTCACAATCCCAAAAACTGAAGAGCCATCACAATCTATTTATCCTTGCACTCCACAATCCTGCTCATATTTAGACATTCACAAACTCTTTTTATAAAGCTGTTAATTGACAATGACATTAACTGCTGTTTGTCCTTGAGTCCAAAGGGAGAGAAAAAATCCTTCTAATTTCAAATCTGGCTCTAGGTTAACTTTACCCTCATGTTCCCTACATCTGCAAGTTTCAATATAGCCTCATCATATTCTCCATCCTGCATTTTATCTCATCTACACAACATTTAAAACTTCCAGCAAATTAGTAACCAAGTCAAGTCTGTATTATCTTCAGATGTACCCAGCTCACACATGGGATTCCTTTTTTTACACATAGAACACAAACTTGAACATATTTGAAAATCTGACAAGCTCACATTGGGGAGTGATTAGCAGACTTGATAATTGCGATGCACAAGGAGGACATTAGATATCACTCATGCGCAGGAAAATTCAACACTGCTTCCCTCTATAAAATCCAATCTTCATTCACTCACACATGTGGTTCTGCATCACATGCCTCGAGATTGGTGTGAAAATCACATAAAGCAGACACTGAAAATCACTGATATGAAAATAAGATAGCTGTCAGTATGATATTGGAATTTGTATTAATATTAATAATCCTTGTATTTGATATAGCACTTTTCACATCTTCTAGACGTCTCAAAGCGCTTCACAGATATTACTGTAAAGTGAATTGACTGTATATTTGTGGGCAAAACCCGGCAGCCAATTGCACACAGCAGCGTCCCACAAACAATCGTGGATTGAAGTGACCAATTTATTATTTTGGGGGGATTTTTTTCTTGAGGGATTATTATCGCGTGGAGTAAGGAAACTTGCCCTGCTGGGAATCGAACTCAGGTCTCTTGTTTGCGAGGCGATTGCTCTAACCGCTGAGCTACAGGACTTCAATACAAGATATTGGAATTTTTAACGTTATAACTTTACACAACTCGTTCTTTTAATGCTCAAGATTTATTATACTCCACGACAAGTGACTTATATACGTTGGCAAAACCTTTATAACTTAGCCAACCAGAAGTGCTTTCTGCTTTCTCCTTCACATAGTTTCCAAAATGAGAACATATTGCTTTCATTTAGCTTCCACAGGAATACTTCCTCCTCCCACAGAGTATTGTGTGTGTGTGTGTGTGTGTGTTTGTAGAGCATCTCTCTCACTAACATAAGCCAGATGTTTCTCAAATCTATTTTGTTCTTGAAAAAGTAAGTTGAGTCGTTTACACGCTCTCAGTGGAAGTCATTAAACAAATCTTAGAATGAGTGGATAACTGAGTATAGATCTTAGTTTGTTACTTGCCAGTGATTTGATATTAAACAAATCAAGGAAAAAAATCCCATCAGGATTCTAATGTGGAAACTGGGTCTTCTCCCCTTCCAGAGGCAAGGCTACCAATGACAGTCATGAGTGTAAACCTTGGAGTCTGCTGTAGCTCAGTTGCTACTAGTCTCCAGCGAATGAGTGATGCTGCCACTATACAAAAGTCACTTCTCTGGCCCTACATGGGTGAATCTGAAGGCTGAATCACTGAACAACTTCAGACCTCAAACTTACCTTGGCAAAGCCTGGAATTGCACAGATACAAATGTGTGGTAAATGATATCTGGAATAGATTACTAGCTAGTAAGAAAACCAATGACTCCGATATTGAATTCCACAAAGCATCTTAGTAAAATGGTCTTTTGGTTGAGTTTGTATTTTTCTTGTGTATTTTGGGTTCCTACTCCAGTACTATGTGTCTAACCACATGTACATTGCACCTACTTAGTTTTAAGTGGTCACTGACTTTCCCTCCCTCTGAGTAAGTATTTCCCTGAACTGCAAGGAATCACAGATGCCAACTTAAGGCCCGACCCTTTGCGGCACAGTAGCTTAAATCAGTCAAAGGCAGCACAGTCTTACCAGTCAGTACATTAACACCATTATAATAATAACCCCTGCATTTGACATAGCACATTTTAGTCGGAGGACTTCTCAAAGCTCTTCACAGGATGTACTATAAAGTGCAGTGACTGTATTTTGTAGGCCAATGTGGCAGCCAACTTGTGCACAGCAACTCACAAACAGCAAGGCAGTAAACAAACAATTTTATCCGAAGGATTCTTGACCAGGTCATCGGGAGAAACTCCATTTGCTTATCGAACAGTGCCAATGATTGGGAGTGTCAGCCTAGACCTTATGAGTTCAAAGTCGCAAAGGTGAGGTATGAAACCCCATCCTTCTGAGTGCTGCCAACTGAGCCAGGCTAACACACTTCAGAGGGGAATTAGTGGGCACTATGTGAGGACAACAAAGGATCTCGGGAGTTGGGAAATTTAACTTACAAAGCAAGGGTAATAACAGTGCAGAACGCAGCACAGGTCTGAGGTTTCATTGATTTAAGCTCAGTGTTCCTAAGAACCGAGAAAGTTATTCTGTGAGAAACTGGTACAAGGAACCTATCTATCTTCAAGCCCAAACCAATGCAATGTGCCTCATTTTTTTTCCTACAACAGTCGATTCCTCTGTATTTGACATTTTTATACGTTAACCTTCTCTGTGTATTTTCCTGTGATCACCCAGCCACCAAGTTTTGAAACAATGAACTGGTAGGTAATTATTTAAGGTACTTAAACTCTGTGAAGGAATGTGAATGGAAGATCTTCATTTCCTTTCATAATATCAGCTTACATCCTTTATTAAGCTCCTTTTACATCCTGTTATCTAGACGCACTTCCCTTTCCAGACATCTTCTGTTCCAAATTTTCTCAACTTCTCAATCTTTACCAGGCCCCTGTCAGGGTCTGTGTTCGCTCTGCTGGCTTGCTTTCTGGGCTTTTCCCTGCTGCTCCTTATGTATGCAGGCTTCTCGTCTGCTTCTAATAGCTGTGCAAATTTAAACATAAATTAAAAATAAATGATCTAACATGGCAGCACACTCTCCCTCAGCCATCACAGCAGTACAGGGTGTGGAAACACACTGATAGATTATGGCGGAGATGCATAAACCAGCTCATCCTATTCTCTAGTGTGATTAGAATCAATCAATCTTTGACATAGCAGTAAAGCCAATCATCCAGCGATAAGCACAGTGGAATTAGTGAATCTAAAGTGAAAGTAGCAGCCAGAACATTGCTAAATTGTTAAACCATATTTATATAAGCACCTTTAGTATAACTATCAAGTATGTGCAGTTCCAATTGACATTTGGATTGTAAGCTTCTTGATTTATTTTTCAAAGTAAAACTAAAAATGTCAAATAGACTTTTGCACAAACTCAATTTTTGTGTGCAGCTCTGTTAGGGGGCCATTTGCTCCATACGGACAGGTTGTACATTATAATGCCACAACACCACCGCTTAAGTAAAAACCCTAAGTCTGTAAACAAAGCCTATAATGCAGGTGTACATATTTGACCGTAACTCATTTGTGAAGCACAATACTGCTGAAAAACTGAATGTGCTAATCTCACTCCATCACTCAGTCCCTTCGCTACATATTTCTATTATTCTTAATAAGAACTTGAATGTCCTTTTAAAAAAAGTCTCCCTTCTTTTAGATTTTTCATTAATAAACTGTTCCACTCACCATTCCCTCTGCCACAAAGACTGCAAAAACAATCTCAACCTGTACTGTTCTCTGAAGTAATTAAAACATTGGAAATGCAGTCCATTCCACATTGTGATAATTCTCTATGGGCTTATAGTCCTCGGGAGGTTAAGCACTGAATATTTGGACTCGGTCAGTCAAGTGCTGCATATTTACACGCAGGCAGTCACCCTGCCAAAGAATTGTGGGATAAAAATAACAGCAACTGAAAGGAAATGAGTAAACAGAGAAATGGAAAGAAAATTGTGGTAAATAGTCAGGACTCTGGAAAACACATTACAGTCAGAACATATTTTTAAATGACCAGAAATAGTTGAGTAATTGATGTCAAAAAGGCAGGCATCTGGTATAAAGCTCCAGTGTTATTTACCTTTGAGGGCGTCAGAATCTATCTGAAGACCTAAGACTTTGTTTGTGTTACATGATTTGGTTGCTGAGGTTTAGTCAGTTATGTAAAGTATGATATTTACATTGTGGCACAATATGTTTTAAGCAGCAATTGTATAATTCAAATCTTCCAAATCAAAACAATCAAACAAAGAAGGCAATCCCAGAAATTTTTTCCTAATTATCAACTATCAGGGGAGGAGGAGAAACAAATACTAAAGAGGCAGTCCTGGCAGTTTACAGTAGCTTCATATCAGATGAGCTCTCCACTTTGCACTTCCTCTTTTATTATTTAAAAAGCAGGAAGATATTTTTTGTCTGCACATAAAGCCATGTTATTAAATCAGCAGTAGACTCCTATCCTCAGTAAGGCAAAAATCAAGAAAATGAAAACATCTATTATTGCTAAAGTACTTCACAAATGGGAAAAACAGCAATATTTAGCCTTTTAGATGTCAGTCTGTCTGTGTTGGTAGCATTCACTGAGTCAGAAGGTTGTAAGTTCAACACCCGTATCAGAGGATTTGAGTTCAGCTTGGCTGGCACTCCATTGCAGTGCAGGGCAGGAGCCCTATTGTTGTCGTTCGGACGAAACATTAAACTGAACCTCATGGCACTATTCCAAAAGAGGAGTTTCTCCCGATGTCCCGGCCAATAATTACCCAGGTAAAAACCTGCTCATTCGCTTGGAAATGGCTGTTTGTATGACAACGCTATGCACAAATTGCCTGTCGCATTCACTTACAAATACACAGTCACACCTTTACAGAAAACTCGATTAAGTATTTTGAAACATTTCAATGGGATGTGGTACTATATCAAATGCAAGGATTATTATTATTCAGTTAATCTTTGATAGGATTCGGGACTGAACAACTAACCTAAAATGTTTTAAATAGCCGACATCAAAAATATTTTAAAAACCTTTCTAATGATAAGTTCCAAATCTTAACAGAATAATTTCTCCTAAGCCATGCACAGTTATAATGATACTAATAATCATTGCATCTGATACAGCACCTTTCACATTGAGAGAATGTCTCAATAAGAGTGCTTCTCAGGAGTTACTGTAAAGTGTAGTGCATTTGAATGTAGTGGATGCTCTAGAAAGTTCCTTACAGGGATGTGAGGAACAGGGTAGTGGATTCAGACTACAGTAGTTGGAGTACTCAATTTCAGCATCACCCTTGTTACAGCACTCATTATCTGCTTACATAGTTTATATACCTCGTAACAAAATGTTTCGACAAGAATGTAATTTCTCACATCAGTCCGTGTGAAAGAACAGCTCGGTGGCAACTTCTCATCCTTTCACACGTCCACGTTCCAGTTCAGGGGCTGCTAATTCCTGTAGCCGCTTTACAAGGACATATACATTAGGATTTTAAACCATGGATAAAAGCAGACAAAGTAGACCTTCCCTCTCAATCAACAAATCAATCTCATTTGAAACTGAAAGCACTTTAAATGATGAGGTTTCTGGAACATCCTGCGAAGTCAACATACACCCAACATACACCCAATGCTGAATTGAATATTCGATGCTCTGAACATTAAGGAAGAAATAAATAGGAGGCATTCCATGCATAATCAGAGGTAGTTTGGCTCATTGGAATTCGACCCACAAATCAAATCTCAGTTTACATTCAGGCGAGCGGGTTTGAGGTGAAGGCCTTTAAGAACAATGCGACTTCAGTTGTCAAAGGGAGGGGCACATGTTTCATATTTCACCCATTCCTTCACAACAATCAGCTGGAACATATTTATTTACGTAAATCCTTCCTCATTCTGGATTAAAGTTTGTAAAGTGTTGATACCGCAGCTACTTTCCATTTTCCCCTTGTACAGTATTTACAATCGTGTATGCGGTCTTTCAGTGCTGAAGTGTGGAGCAGCATCAGCAATGGAAATAAACAAGCCATTGGTTTTAGAGGGAGGTTCATTCCTTCAGCAACATGTACCCAGATACTATTGTACCTAGAAGCCACCAAATTCATTCTTACAGAATGACCAACCACTGCATTACTTCAAATAAAAATATTAATTAACATAGACCCTGCCGTTTAAATAGTGCAGTGAATACAACATCAATATGGCAAACATGCTGCTACCGTCACGAGTATTTAAAAGTGATTGTGCCTGAAACACAGTGATAGTTCCTGTTTCCATCAGCGCAAGAGGAAAACTACTAAAATAGTGAATTTGTCAATCGGTACTTTGCGGCATTTCATGGTTAATTGAAGCTACATGGCAAATTAAAGTGTTATTGCTATATGGGATGTGTTGACATAAACATATGCATTCCAAGCCTTTCCCTGATCCTTTTTTGCTTTACTTTCTTCAAATGTCGCACTAACTAAAAGGGTCGGCAGGCATGTTACTCTGCCGGCAAACATACAACCAGCATCTATGAGGTGCCCAAAAGAGTTCCAGATTTACTCAATTGCCCTTTGATATTCCTGCCTGACTTCTGACGAAACCAATTACAAATAAGAACTCACTGTGCAGATAATCATGAGCACGTCCCCAGCACTCTACTGTGCTCTTCCTACATTTTCGATGAAGGATAACTCAAGGTCATTTACAGACCTGATAAAAGAGAAATGTTCACAACAATATTTATTTTAAACCATATATTTAGCAGTTCCAAGAAGGAAGGTTTCCTCAAGGCCTGCCTAAATTTAACTCTGTGTAAGCTGCGAAAAGGAGCTCAATTTCTTTCTGTTGACTATAAATAACAGAATTGAAAAAGGGCAGAATAAAAACACATTTTATTCAGGGTTTCCACAAGTCAGTGGAAGGAGACTTAACTCCCGACTCCTGCTTTCCTGCGCTAAAGATGCGGTGGTAGTAAAAGTGAAACAAATGGTAGCCTCAACAAAATGGTTGCCACTAACTCAATGCCTCCTGGTTCTTCCTGTGGCGTTCTGGAGATCACTTAGCAGCACAATGGCACCAGCATTTACTTTGGGGATTTTTTGCCCTCACTCTCTCCAACTCCATCCTGGAGTCATTTCACCTTGCCCCTCCCTTCACTTCCTTCAAATATGTTTCGCTTGTTGCTTGCAGGTTAAAATAAAGTTATTACATTTATACAAAAACATTTTTGAATCCTTGCATCTTCGCCACCAAGCGTCCACACAAACAGATAAGGCATCCAGTGTTGCTTTCCAATATTCTTTTTTAAAAAGTGTTTGAAAACAAGAGAAAATGTTTCTTTGGGCACACTGCCAAAATACGCTGTGTGGAATATTTTTAGATCCAAGTAGCACTGCTCCTCTGAAAGTATGTTGTAGTCTCAATCGCTGACTGATAAGCGCAATACAGTAAAATCTAATCTGGATACGAGGTTGCCAATGTTATTAAGTTTGAATTTATTAAAATGACACAGATGAGCTTAAAGACTAATATTTCTAAGAAAATACTGAGCCTTAAAAATCTTCCTTCCTGGACCTTAAAAAAAACTTTGCCTAGCTTTCTATAACAGCTGCTTTAAATGCCAACTAAAATGCAGTCTTCCTTTCAATATCCTTTATTCTCTGATTTTATTCTTTGTCAGACTTACATTGATTAGTCCAAAGATCAAAGTTATTTTTACGATTAAAGGACCAACTATTCTTTTGGGGATATCTGCGGAAATAATGTTGCGCCAACTCTTGGGAACTCCATTCCAATGCCACCAACTTCCCTTAGGTTGATTTGAGACTTTTCTGGTTTCCCTCGAGAATTGCTATTTGCTACTCATTGTAACTTGATAAGTATATAATTGGTGCAGTCAGTGAGTACAATAAAATAGCTGGGTCTATAATTTAGTGATTTCTAAAGGGATTAGTTACTATTAACACTGGTTGTTAATTTTTTGACTATCTTCTGAGCGTGGTTTTCTTCGATCCCATCTAATCCCCAGTGACAGGAACCATTGGCATACACTTGTATGTATTTTTTGCAAGGTCCAAAGGGGCATGGAAAGGTAATTTATACACAAAACCTTACAGGGTTCACAATGAAAACAAATTATATTGTTGACAGCTGTTGCAAATATCTGTTGTCTCAAAGACAATGTTGGGAATTCAAATTTATAAATACAGGTAAGTGTAAGTCATAAACAAAATGCAAGCAAAGTGATGATCACTTCAGGAAACATCAATTCTGTGAACTGATTGAATTCTTAATTCAGTTCAAAGAACAAATAGCTTTATCAGGTAGTGGAGCTATTTGTCTAGTCCAGAAAATTTCAATAAACACCAGAAAAATCGAACAGCAACTCATTTTAATTGACTTCCTTAAGGATCAGAAAATGTAATAAGAATCTTTTTTAGAAATAAAAATCTGAAACTGTATTCAGTAATTGTATAAATAAACACAAAATGGCAGGGAAATGATCCTTTCAGAAATATAGAAGATTATTAGCAACTATTGATGCTTTTTCCCCCCTTGCTTGAAGTGTTTCCATAGCTGAGAAACTTAAGTCCGTGGACAAGTATAGCATTGTAATTCATTTGTGAAGTAATCATGCGCACCTCAGTGACTGAATCCCAGCGACTGTATTTTTGTGGGCGAACCCAGCAGCCAGGTTGCACACGGCAATGTCCCATACACAGCCGTGAAGTAAATGACCAATCTTACTTGATGGTTTGTTGGCCAAGACACTGGGAGAAACTTCCCTCTCTTTTCGAATAGAGCCATGGGATCAAGCTACAATGCATCATACC